TTGAAAGTCGTCATCATATCTCCTCCAAGTCCTTTGTCATCTGTGTAGGTAGTTTTGGAATTTAAAATGATTTGTCAGTAAAGATTTTAAAGCATATCGGAAGATGGGTCCTTCTGAGAACTGGAACTTTTTTTATTGGATATTTTATTTATTTACATTTCAGATGTTTTCCCTTTGCCCATCCCCCCCCACAGAAACCCCTTATCCTGTCCCCCCTTCCTGCTACTTCTATGAGGATGTGGCCTCATCCATCCAACCACTCCCCCCTCCCCACCCTCGAATTCCCCCAAACTGGGTCATCCAGTCTGGAACTTTTAAGATCCCTGTCAGGAATAGCATTCTCCATGCTGTGTCAGCTGAATCAAAGGTAAGAAACTTACACAGAAGTTTCCAGAAAGATTCCACCATGCCATGATCAATCCCTGCATCTAGCAGAAACACTACAGCCCACATGTTTTAGCTCTACAAAGAATCCTCAGATGTTCTTGTCACTCAAAGTTTTAGCCCATAACTTATTCTGAAAGCCAGCACCTGTTTATTCAGAACAGCTAAGACGTATCAGGAAAGGGATGGGGCAATGATCCATTCCATTGCATGCTTGCTAAATGAGCATGAGGACCTGAGTTCAGACCCACAGTATCCATGTAAAAATCTAGGTGTGGTGACACATTCCTGCTAACCCTGCACTGAGGAGACAGAGACAGGAAAATCCCTGGGGTTCACCAGCCAGCCAGGCAAGCTGAATCAGTGAGCTTCAAGGCTAGTGAGAGACTCTAGCTCAAAATATAAAGTGAAGAGTAAATGAAGAAGACAGCCAACATCCACGTCTGTTCTTCACATGGACATGCATCTATACACAAATGTATTTGCACATACATAAACACAGAAGCTCACACATATGTACAACACACACACACAGAAAGTAGCAGGGAAGATTGATACAAAGATGATAACATCATCCTTTGGACCTAGAAAAATATGATTGCCACTTTTCTATCGCGCAGATTGTGCTGGTGTCTGTGTTAGTTTGGGTTAAAGGTCAAGGAAGTCATCCCTTTTCCTTTTCTGCCCCTCATCTGTCCCATGGGAGCACTTTTCCCAGCTCTGCACAGCCTACTTCCTGTTCTCAGTCATTGTCTTCTCTGTCCTGGTCTGGGCCCTGCAATGCTCAGCGAACTCACTGGCTGTGGGGCTCTCCTTTCCCCTGAGCATCAGGAGGGAGGAATTTCCTCACAGGGGCTATTCCCCTGCCAAGGGTCCAAAGAGGGTACTGAGTTCTAGACAGTACTTTTCTACTATAGTATTAGAGGGTAGGAACACTGAGGAAAGTATCTTTAGAGAAAGAATATGCAAGATGCTGGAGGTGATAGGTTTTGTAGAAGAGAGAAGAACAAGTCTGATATCAGCCCCTTTGATGCAGTTCAAAGGGTGCTAAGCATCAAATTGGGTAACAGCCTCGCAAAGCAGTAAATTGGCTTCAATTCAGCAGGCAATTCTGCTGCCTTGTATGTTGGTATTTCCCGAATGTCCTCCCTCAGTGAATTTGAGGTCCGAAGTCTGGGACAATACAGAGTGCTTCAGAGTGAACCCAGAGAAAATGGAACATAGCAAATCCTCCTTTAAAGTGATATACTTAAGACTTCTTTTTAGGTGACTTATATGATATTAACCAGACTACATGAACATCAAGATCTAACCATCCAACACAGTTAAGCCATGAAAAGAAAGATGTAAAATTTCACCAAGCAGGTGCAACTCTCTGGTGGTTTTCACACAGTAACTGAGGATATAAAAGCTCTATTTGTTGGTTACAGTTTGAATGACTGTCACCACAACCCCCAAAAGACCCATGTGATAAAGACTTGTCCCCAGTCATTTATTCACTAACCACCTTGCTCTTTGAGATGGGGTACCTTACTGAACCTGCAGTGCACTGATTCAGCTAACCCAAGGATTCTCAACCTTCTTAATGCTATGACCCCTTAATACAGTTCTACATGGTGTGTTGGCCCTCAACCATAAAAGTATTTTTGTTGCTACTTTACAACTATAATTTTGGTAATGTTATAAATCATAATATTTGATATGCAGGATATCTGATATGTGACCTACCCAAAAGGGATCATGACCCACAGGTTGAAAACCATTGAACTGGAGGAAGCCTAGCCTTGCTATACTGCCTCCACACAACCCCGGAGATATGGGACCATCCAATCCAGGGCTGAGATCTCCTGGGAACTGAAATGAACCTTACTTCTTTCAAGCTGATCATTTAATGTATTTTGTCACAGTCACAGAAAGCTGACTATCACACCATTTCAACCGGCACTTCATGGCTGGCAAGAATTCAAGCTAATGTTTGGCACCTGTGAAACATAAGCGAGGCTTTCAGCATTCCTGTTCTATAGACACTTTCATAAAAGTTTGATTTGTTCCCCGTGAAGTTCAATGTAATACACAGATCAAGTAAGTCATGGCGTCTGGCCAGGGAATACATTCCTTCTTTAGAAGAGAAGCAAAGAGCAAACCCTGCTTATCACACCCAAGTGCCTGTCCAGAATTGCAAATGCCTTTCCAGGGAGAAAAGGGTGATGGGATGCCAAGGAGAAGTTCCTGGGATTCGGAGCAGTGGCTGCCACGTCCCATGCTAAAAGTTCTCTTGGCATCTGGGCACTAAGATCACTCACCTCTTTGACCACTTATTATCAGTCTACGTTTCTAAATCCCTCTAACCAGTTTCAGGAGAAAACAGAAACTGCCAATTTATTCTGATTACATATGTACAAAAGCAATGCTATCATTAAAAACTAGTCTTTCTCTCTCTGAACCAACAAGTTCAGGTGAGGGAATCACATTAAGGCTTGGTCCTCTGCAAATAGTAGAAGTCTGCTTTGAGTACCAATGGTCCTGCATCCCCTTTTAGTACCCTAACTGATCTCCACTGGAAGTCATATTTCTCATGTATTTGAAATTTTTCTCAGCTATTTTGAAATACATAATTCTATTACTGTTTATATATGAGATGTTCCATACCAGTTCGCATGTTAGGTGCTTGTCCCCTATCTGGTGAGAATGTCTTAGGAGATTTGGGGGACTTTTAAGGAGAGGCAACTTAATGGAGGAAGTGCGTCCCTGAAGACAGATCCTTGGAGCCTAATCATGCACCTCCCTTGCTTCCCTTCTGAGTGTCTTTCTTAGCTTTCTGTCTACCTAAGATGAGAAAAGTCTCTCTCTTCATGGTCCCAACCCCAAGATGTTCTGTCCAACATCATGGAACCAAGTGATCATATACTGAATTTTGATACCATCATAAAAAAAAGAACATATTCTTCTATTAGATTGCTTTTTTGAGTATTTTTGTAACAATCTTGCAAAAGCAGTAAATACAAATACACTATGATTAATTATAATAACTGTGCTGTATGACAGATCTTGGAAATTCTTGCTTAACTGACATGTCAAACCCTTTGAAACCCATCTCCCCATCCTCCTCCCCATCCCTGGTTCCCACTAACTCTGAGTTTGACTGTTTTGATTCCATACAAATGAGATGCACAATCTGTCTTTCCATGTCTGGCTTGTTTCATTTAGCATCATGTTCTCTAAATTCATCTACATTGTCACAGATAAATGATGTCATTTTGCTAATTTTTGAAGTTCTAATTTGTTTACAGTATTTTCCCCTTCCCTTTCCTCCCTCCAAATCTTCTCATATACCCCTTCCTGTTCTTCTTCAAATTCATGGCCTCTTTTTCATCAATTACTATCACATGCATATATATATTTGTATATACACATATATTCCTAAATATAACCTGCACAGTCCATATGATGTTTTCAGGGATGACTCCTTGGCACTGAAGAGCCGATTGGTGTGCTCTCCCTTGGAGAAAATCATTTCTGCTCCCAGATTTTCTCAGCTGCCTATAGTTCTCTATGTAGAGTTGAGACTTTATGGTTTTTTTTCTGTCCAATGTGGCATATTCATTAGTGTCTATTATCTAATTTTTCATAAAGCTAAAAAGCATTTCATACAAAGGTGTGCACACACAAAGTTATAGCACTAACATTCTTGCTTTTTGGAAAATACAGAGTACCACAGTCACACAATGAGGATACAGCTGTTGTTTTGTTACTCTCTGGGAAAGTTGGGGAAGCCATTCCATTGTGTCATTATTTATTCTTTCAGAAATATTTATTGAGCATTCATGGAATACTAGAAAGAATTCCCAGCACTAGAAATAAAAATAATGAATTAGACCAACAATAAGGAGGGAAGTGTCTGTGTTTAAATGTGTATATACTTACGTAAATGTGGGGGAGGGGTGCACACATGGTATCTCCTGAGCAAAATCCCAGAACAAGCTGGAAGTTGCCACCCACAAAGCCTGATGGCCTCAGTGCAGCCAGGTCTTCTTTATTTTCTCAGGGCATCCAGTGGGGAGTGAGTCCCTCTTGGATCTTATCTCATGGCACTCCAGAAGTTGCAAGCATAGGCAGCCCTGTTAAGTCTCAGCATCTTCAAATGAGATGCAGGGTCTTTCTCTGAGGACCAAGTCTGTGAGGTGACAATGAAACTAAACAAACTGTTCCCACTAGAAATGCAAATTGCCTGGATTCTGCCTCTCAGAGTCCATTCAATTCAGAAAAAGAATCTCACAACTGGATGTAGGCAGCTGTAGACCAGCCAGACCCACAAAGCTTATAGGGCAGAAATGGCCATAGTTTGCATTCCATTGATGGTGATTTGGGGAAGGAATTTTTCTTTAATAATAGAAGATGGACAGGACACAAAAAACAAGGCTTGCTGGACACATATGAAGAGAGTAGAGAGGCAAGCTGTTTAAATGGACCAGAGCTTTTGTCTTCAGATATGAAAAGCTTTGCCCCAAAGGCTACAGTTTGATTTTGTGCGGATTTGGGTCTAACAGTTCCAGACCTATTGTTTTATATGCTAATTGAAAAATGTAATCCACAATATGTATGATCTTTTTTCTTTCAGCCATCAGATCACCAAATATATGCATTTCATCTGTCAATAGCTATGACACAGCCAAGTCCTTTGAGACCAGTGACCCTGGTAACTTGAATATGGCCTGTTTCTAGTTCCATCCCAATTCACAACTTCTATATGACAACTGAAGAATCACCTCAACTGGAGTGAGGTGGCTCATCGTAGGAAAGTGTGCATTGGTCTGCACATAACTTGCAGTGGATGCATATAACTCTGTATACAGACCTGGTATGCAATTTTCTTATTTGGTTTGTAACACACATTTCTTAAAACACTAATTTTAATTCTGCTTCTAATTTTCACAAAATGGAAATGTCTAAGCTAAGTTTATTTTTGGTTATAAAACTAATACATGCATACATTGTTCCTGTCAAAGTCTGAACATTTGATGGAGCTAAATTCTCCACTGAAAACAAACTTAATTCCTGCTGTCTCCTCAATTATGAAAAATGTTCCTTTCCAAACTTTTTCTACATTCTCATTCCAAACATTTGCTACATGCTAAGCCCACAAACTCATCTGGATCTGTTTCTTTGTTTGTGTCCACACGTGAAAATTAAGTTTCCACCCAAAGTTTGCAGCATCAAATTAAACATCTTTACAAATAGCTGAGGTGTCTGCTATGGTTTTAGTGCTGCTTGTCTCTCAAACTCATGTTGAACTTTAGTCATCTTTGTCTGAGTAATAAGAGATGGGACCTTTAAGAGGTGACTCAAACGTCAAATCTGTGCTCCCATGAGTAAAATTGGTTCCATCTTTGCCTCTCTTCACTGTGCCTTCTGCCATGTGAAGATGAAAGATCTGTCACTCAGGGGACAAGGCATTCAACATTCCAAACATAATTGGAATTGATAAATCGGCTGGAACCTAATGTGATACCCTATTGGGTAGCATCCTTCTCACAAGATGGCCTTGCCTTCAGACATCTGTGTCCTGAGCATCCAGAGAGCAGCACTGCTACTGGTCCTTGGGAGCATCCCATAAGGGTTTGTACGAAAATAGGGAACAGCTAAGTAAGCAATGATTAGAGTAATCCAGGAAAGCAAAAATTTGAACGTAATTTCCTTACATATTCCTCTGACTAGAAGAATAGAAGGTAGAGTAAAGTCTGTAAATACAGCACAAACAGCAGAAAGTGAAATTTACCTGGCCCAGTAGGCCATAAGATGGCTTAGTGAATTATGTAAGTGGATATTTCTAAAATCTATTTCATGAAAGTTTAAGTGTCTTGTGAGCTCTAGGCATAATTGCTTAACCTCTGTCAACATGAAGTTCACAACATCCAGTGCTTTTAACAGGCCAGCAACTTACTCTAGGCAGCCCTAGACAGACCTTGCCTCTTGACTTGAGAGATGACCACTGGACTGAGGGAGCAGGAAGTATGGCCACAGTGAGCTTTTGGAACTGGGTGCTATATATATTCCAGGAGTGAAGCATCCCTAGCTAAGAAGATCCTGCATGCAGAAGGCACCTGGGTCATTTCCAACTATTACCCAACCTGGGGAGATGAACAGGGTCACATTTTCACAGAGCTCCTTTTCTAAGCCAAGCATGAACCTATGTGGCTGAGACTCCTTCTGCAGCACTCTGGCCCAGCACACCAACTCTCACCTCCTCCTAAGATAAATTATTCCATGATGGCTCATGGATATGACTGCAGATCTGCATGAGACTGAGGGTAGGCCAAGTGGAAGCTTGCATTGCCCAGAATAGCAGTGACCATGATGACCTGGTAGCTTGGAACTGTCCCCTTCTGAACCTTTCCAGGCTACTCCCTAGCCATCCCTCCCCCATCATTCCTGGGAGTGGACAACTTCCCTAGTTCTGAATGTCTTTTCCTTCCGCTTGGGACACCTCACTTTTCCTTCAGGAAAGGCAAGTTCCCCCAGGCAGGATGTTCCCCACCCAGCAAAGCAAGTCCTCCAGAAGCCTCAACAGTGCTGGCAGCTTCAGATTCACAGTGGATGCATAGGAATGGCCCTCATCAGAGGGATAACATAATAAAGTCACAGAAGGAACCATTCTCAATTTGTACAGCAAAAGGCTGTTTTAGAGACTCACGGAGAGTTTCCTAAGCATTTAAAACTCACCAAATAAACTAGGGTTGTTTTACATCCTGCTTTGAGGTAAGCCTTTCAATGCTGTGCACAACAGCTATTCCATCCGCAATTTCACATATTCCGGTTTGAACTCTTTATTGACAACCATAGATGTATACCTTTATAGAAACCTTTCAATAATCTTAAAGACTCCATCCTTTCTTCTACATTGCTGTCTTTTCTTCCCCTTTATAGTATTTGGCATGGAACCCAGAGCCTAGCACACACTGGCAAGTGACCTATTCCTCAGACACACACACACACACACTCTATGGAATTTCTGTTTTTATTATATTTGCCGCTATTCTTGTTCTTCTCAGAGATTAGGCTTCCTCCGGGGAGGCCCCATGCATAATCCCACCCTTTCCAAATTCTCTAAGGACATTTTTTGCAACTGTCTTATGTTTAATTTCTGTTCTCTAATTCTTCAACTGTGTGGTCCTAACTAATGCATCTGGCTCTCTGTGGACAATATGTTCTTAATACAGGGAAAAACATTTATACACACAAAAACACTCAAGAAGATAGTCCAACCTAATAAACAAAAAATTAAATAGGCAATGTAAAGTAAACAGAAAAGAAATGTGACCAGTGAGCACATGCAAAGACATCCCCCATCGCTGGATGGCAGAGTGAGGTGGATCAGGTCTACTGCAACCAGAAAGAGTGAGTGGAAATAAGCTCATATTCAATTTGTGCAAAGGAGAAATCTGCTTACAAGAGAGAAATGAGGGGAGATGTAGGAGGAGAAGGGAGAACAGGCTGCCAGGGAGTCGGGGAAGTAAGAAGTAGCTAAGAGTCAGTCAGCAGCTGTGACTAAACCTACAGTACCTACCAGCAGACTCTCACTAGGGCTAGGATTCTGGCTTCCCTGGTAACAGAAACTGCAAATAGAGCTCTACACTCAGGTAAGACTGCCTCAAGCAGGACATCATCTTGACAGTCTGTGTGCTCTCAAGGAGGGAGGGTGGAATTGGGGAACATGGCTAAGCTGTTAGAAACAGTGTTTATTCAAGTCCTTACAGGTCCCAGTGGAGGCCTAGTAAGGGCTCGGGCAAAGAAATAATCTGTCACTATAGAAAATAAACCTTTTCTGGTGAGATGGCTCAGCAGTCAAGAGTACAGAGGACCTGAGTTCTGTTCTCAGCATCCACATCCAGCATCTCTAAGGGATCTGATGCCCTTTTCTAGACTCCAAGCCTACCCTACACTCAGGTGCACGTACCCACAATGAGACACATACATGTACCCACAATTGTTATAAATGAGATAAACCTTTAAAACTAGCCTTTTAAAAAAAGGAAAGATAGCATACACAAATTAAGTATTTCTCACCTAATACACTCAGAATCATGATGTTGTAGATTCTCCTGGATTATTCATACACAGATTATGTGACGTCCTAGGGATGGGACTCAAGTCAAAAGACAGAACTCACTCATGCTTCCTACACATCTGTCCATACACCTTGGATGGAGTTTTATGCCATTTTCACACAATAACTCTACAATACTTCACTCAACATTTAGCACATGAAATAAATCTATGTGGTGTGGTATTCCCTATTGGTGGTGTCACATTGGTCCTTGGAGAGATTTGAGATCTGCAACCCTACCTGTGCTCAGTATTTGTAAGGACCTAGGATAACTGGTACTCATGCTTTGGAAAACTGCAAGGGGTGTTTCTAAAGTCTAGAATGTATAGGCCATCTTTTAAGATGTTTCAGAAAAGAAGGTTCATGTTGTAAAACATAAGGACAAGATGACCAATAGCAGATCTGATAACAACAGCCCAAACAAAAGCAATCTGTATTATATGAATAGCATAAGAGAGTTTATAATTCACCAATGAATTACTGAGAATACAATGTCAATCACACCAGCACAAAGGAGTCTCACAGACAAGACACGTACACCAAATAAACACCTGGTGGGAACTCCCAGGGACAGGTATAAATGCCTGCTAAGAGAACCCCCAGCTGTGGCAGGGGTGGGCTGACTGCAGAAGCGGCAGAAGCCAGAAATGTCCCTGGTTGATGAGGGACTCAGAGGTCAACATCTAACACATTGTTAATTAGCACAATCGAAATCAGTACACAGTACAGCTGTCAACTGTAACCTCGGAATGAAGGGAGAATGTTCTTACCAATCAGAATAGAGGCTGGAGGACTAAATACGGTATGAAGTTTGCGTCAAAATTACCCTCAGGGGCTGAGAGACACTGAAGGCATAGGTCACTTTCCATCAGCGACAGCTACCTGAGAGTACATTTTCACTTTTGTTCTATATTTTCCATAATAGATGGTCTTTTATATTATTCCTACTATGTAATATAGTAAAAACATATGAGCACAGCATTTAGGAAATAACGTCAAGAACGACATCTCTGTGCATTGAGTGCAGATCACCTCTCCTACCTAATTCCCCTGTAATGATATTTAATTAAACTTTTGGAAAAGCCAGAAGGTAAAGACAAGACTTGGGATAAAGTTCTATTTTAAGTCATAGCCTGTGTTTGCTTCATCTCCTGAGGAATGCAGCAGTATGAGCATGTGAAACAACACCAGGGTATCCCACCCCTGCCCTTCCTCCTCCTGGCCCAGCCCATAGGATCTTCCCAAAGGGACAAGAGAAAATAGACTGAGACCCCTTCCCTGAAGGAAGATAGTTACTAGCCTAGTACATCCCTGAGCTGGCTGGGAGCCTCCTGCCTAAGGCTGGAACTAAGGAAGCCTTCCTCCTGCCAACGCCCTTTAATTGTTATGGATGGCCCTTATTAGCTCATCTCAGGCTCCACCCAGGCTCCTTCTTGGAAAAAAAAAAAAAGCAGAGGCCAAAGGATACTATTAACACCATCCATGGCTTCCCCTCTCTGTGAATGTCTCTACAGCTTGGATCTTTGTACTATGCTATTTCTAGATGGAAATGTTTGTTATCAGGGATGCTGCAGACCTGAGACTCTGGGGCAACTGTAAGTCAAGACTCTGATGGGGTCTGTGGACCATGGTGTTTGAAAACAATAGTGTAAAGACTCCTCAAGTATGTTAACGTATAGAGAACTGTGAGCAGACTCAACTAAAGCAAAATATAACAGCCAAAAGCTTTACTTCTGAACACCTGATAACACAGAGTAATTTGTGGGGACCATCACAGAACATTCTACCACATTGGTTTTTGAATCCCCCTGTCTAGAGTGTACACTTGAAGCAGTGT